AATTTAGAGAGAAGGAGGAGGAGGAGGTTTAGAGAGAGGATGGGAGGGTGGAAATGAGGTAAAAAAGTGAAAAACAGATTTATATACACCGCAGATAACACGCCCTATCGTGGGCGTGTCTCTCTCCTAGAACACGCCCTACTTTGGCCGTGACCGCACACGCCCTTGCTTAGGCGTGTTTCCTTCACAAGATCACGCCCCACATGGGCGTGTCTCTCTCCATCAGAACACGCCCCATGTGGACGTGTTTGGGTGCTATAGATTTGTAATTTCTTACAAAAAGACAACTTGTCCGTAATTTTTTATTAAAAAAAGTAATAAATTAATTTTTTTTGCCCCGATTCCCATTTCATCAAAAGCAAATTGGGAAATATCTCAATTAGTTATAGACGTTTGTAATCTCTTTAAAGTAACAAAGTACTCTTTACCAAAAAAAAAAAAGTAACAAAGTACAAGCCAAGCAGCTCCATATCAATCAATTTCACATAGATGCTGTATCGGAAAAGAAAATGAAAAAGGATATGGATGTTGTAGGGTTCGCGTGTGTTGATTGGTGAAGGAATTGATCTTTGTGCAATAAAAGGATTTCCTGTTGTTCCCTTAAGACTTAATAATGCAAAATTTGTTTTGGCACATCACTTCGGTAAGGACATGTTATTATCTTAAAAAAATTATCATCAAACTGTATGAATAAACTCACACTTTTATTTTTTTTGGTAAAAAATAAACTCACACTTTACTGTGAAGATATAGTGATGAATTGATGATGTCCTTGCAGTTTGTCTTTGGCTTTTGGATTTTTTAATTCAATAATAGAAAAATATTAAAAATAAAATAAAAATTGTGTTACCAACGTCTCCCCCGAAAAGTTTTATAATAACAATATATCAAAAATATCACCTTGCAAAAATCTCATAATACTAAGTAATATCATCAATAATAATATAGTAGCCCAACTCCATCTCCAAGGCTATCACTTCCTTTTCCATGATGCACACGGGCTTTATGTTAATGAAAGTATATATAGCTTTCAAAGTTGTAATGCCTAATCTCCCACTCAACCCACTTATGTTTTAATTCCTCAATCAAAATTTCCACGTCGTTGATGCTAGCTGGAAGAGCATCAATTATGTAAAGAAACAAATATTATAATGATGGAAATTTAGTATATTTAGTGCAAGGAAAAAATGATTTTTAGTTAACCAACTATCCTAAATAATATTGAATCTTTAGATATACCTAATGAACAAGTTGTGTTTTATTTTTTGAAAACAAAAGGTTTTGGTCGCAAATTGCAATGCATAGACCCTGATAAGGAATCTGGGAGACAGGCTGTGGTTCTTCGAATTTCTTATGAACAAGGGCCTAGAAGAAGGAAGAACATTGTCATGTACAAATTTCACACGCATTGAAGGTAAAGAATATTTTTGTTTTTACTATATTTATTATAGGAAAAGTATTTGTTCTTTTAAAAGATAAAAAATTATGTCATTTTAATTAAAATTATTGTATTTTAGGGTGAAAAAATAGTTACACAGTAGAAGATTATAGTGGAAAGAATGGTAAGTTATCGAGACATTTTTTAATTTAAATATTAAGTAAAACATTACTTTTTTTAGTTAAAATGACATAATTATATGTCTTATAAAAAACTAAATAATTTTTTCATTTATTATTTTATATTCAATTATAAAATGATATAAATAGACTTAAAAAATTGCATCAAGATTATTTTACATATATTACCATAAATTATATTTTCAATCTTTTATATATATATATATATATATATATATATATATATATATATATATATAGCAAAAGCACTCATCTAAAAACGTTTGTTAAAAGATTGCCTAGTGAAAGCATATCTGGTATGTTTTGCAATAATAATGCAGTCAAACACGTAGGTTGACTGTACGGAATCAGTCACGTAAGGTATCATTACGGGACCAACCTCCATGTCAGTTTCTTCCATTAAGTCATGTCACCTTGGCATACAGGACATACAGTCCCGTCAAGAAGCACTATGACACTAGTTTAAATTCGTCAGTTACTCAGACAACACTAATCCGCGTTGTTGAGATGCACTGTATTATGGTTCTCGGATTATTGTAGTTATGATTTTCCTTATTCATGGATTACTATATTTATGGATTACTGCAGTTCTTGCCTTCAACCCTTTTTTTTTTCAATTCCGCTCGCATGTTATTAGTTAAAGAATACAGACATCAACAATAAATGTATGCAATAAATGCAACATTTAGTAACATATTATTATAGTAAACCTGACAATATGTTACAATATGCTAATTGGTTATGCGCGTTGTAGGACATGAACGCCTATTATGTCCAGACTGTTTACATATACTACATCTAGTTTTTCTGGAACTAGGTTGGATCTCCTCATCATCCATTTCATTGCGAATGCGTGTGGATTTAGGATATCCCTTTCCACACAACTTTGAGATATTGGGGATAATTTTTGGTCCAGGAGTTGACAATATTCCTTCTTCACTAACGATCAAGTACCATGGTGAAGAGTAAATGGTGAAGAGTAAACATGCATAATATTGTAAATTGAGAATACCCAATCCACGTATTGTTCGGCATCATGGGCTACCTTCCCCACATGCAGCAATTACATGGCTACATGGGAATTTGAATGCTTGAAACTTGCCACATTGACATTTCCTCTTACTCAGGTTAACCCATAATGTACCACAGTTATGGTCAACTTCAAACGTGGTACACGCCATACTATACTACCAAACACACATTTATGTAGCCCCCTCTCCATTTTTTATCATGGCTTCACTAATAACACTTAAAAAATGCTTTCCATTCTGTACATCTTTCTGGGCTTTAGTCCTTCTCTTGACAAATTAATGGACAAGTCGATTATAAATGCATTTGACCAATGCAGCGAGTGGCATGTTCCTCGCTCCATTAAAAATACTATTTACTGATTCAGAGAAATTAGTTGTCATATGACCATATCTTCGTCCATCCTCGTACAATTCATCTCCTCTTGTCCACAGACCTCGACCTAAGCCTTCAACATCTAGTATATCTTATGTGGGTAATCCCAATTAACATCTCATAATGTGGAATCTCATTTCAAAATGGTATAACATATGCATATTCACACATAATATGATATATGCAAAAACATGGTAACTAATAAAAAAATAAATTTAATAATACAACTCACTAATTAACCTGGTGATTATGGAACAACTGTGGGATTGGACATAGAGGTACCAGTCTCGTATGACATGGGGTTACCAAGATGTTCATCACCTGCATTGTTATCATTCTGATCATAGTCATTAGCTAACAGAGTGTCTTCATCTTCCTCTTGCTTTCTTCTCCATGTGCAACAATTGATTATGTGGGCTAGGGTATAGAAGATGATACATAATGTGACTAACTATTAAGGTCCAATCCATGAATTGGTATTGATAGATCCTCTGTTGTCTTAGTATCCGCGTATAACTGAACAAATTGAGACGAGGGTTATCGACGAATGTTCGAAGGAAATCATCCACGTCCTCATCATCATATATCTCAAAACCTGCGTATTTGTGGTTTTCACACGAAACTCTGCCCGTCATTGATGATATTACCTGATTTTGTTGCAGCTTCAAATTTTGACAATCTTCTCATTTAAATCTTCAATGGACATACCTCGGACAATATACATTGTTCTTTTTCCCCCTTCGAAGCTCAATCCACCTGCACCTCTAATTTTAGAACCATTGTAATATACGAATGAACAAACTTGATCCATTTTTTGCTCATGTTATTATGCAAAAAAATACAAAAAATTAGAGGGTAGATTATGGCTCAAAATAAGGATGGGATAAAAAAAAACTGCGAGTGATAATCCATGACAGTGGATAAAATAATGAAAAGAAAAACAACATAAATATCTAATACAGAAATGACGAAGGTGAGAATGAAACACTAAGCAATTCATTTTCATAGCCGAGAAGGGGTATATACAGAGTTTGGGGTGGTTAGGTACAATGGACGGTCGAGATTTAATCAGGTTGTATTGAACGTGTAAGGTGTCAAGCTAGTCTAGTCCTCGGCCTTAAGTATATATGACTATTCAGGTTGTATTAAACACGTAACGTGTCAAGCAAGTCTAGTCCTGGACCTTAAGTATATATGACTATTTCCGTATGGACTAGTCCCGTACATATATCATACGTTTGTGAAAGGGCAGTGTCGTAAGGTGTGACGGGACTGCATGTCTCGTATGCCAAAGTGACATGACTGAAAGAAAGAAACTAACATAGAAATTGGTCTCGTAATGGAGTGAATATTTGGTGCACCCGGCTCAAATGAGCCGGATAGAGAAGAAAAAGAGGAAAGATGAGAGAGTAAAAAAGAAGAAGAAGATGGAAAGGGACTATGAAATTAATTTTTCTCAAAATGATATCTTATGTGACTAATCCCATACAGTTAACCTATATGTTTGACGACATTAATATGGCAAAATATACCGGACGTACTTTCACTAGGCATATCTTTTAACAGTGGTTCTTAGACGGATATGCTTTTGCCTCTATATATCACATAAGTCACTAAAATTGATGTAGCAACGAAAATTTGGATAGTTTATATGAAATTATATTTAAATCTCGTTGAATAAAAAAAATTATATTTCTCGTATAAGCTTCGCTTGTCTCATTCGCTCTTTTATTATACATTTCCAAGTCAGTGTTCCACGTGCTCCTGGGAAGTCTCTCCTCTTCCATAGTACCCCTACTACTGCAAACTACACTCTACACCTACATCTCTCTCTCTCTCTCTTCACCCTCAACATCATTGTCATTTTCTTGTTTCTCTTTCCTCTCCTCTGACCATCTGCACCTTCCTTCCTTGTTTGCTTCTTCTTCATCCCCATCTCTCTCTCTCTCTCTAGTCTGGCATTTGGAAGAAGAACCCCACAAAGAAAAAAGAATATGGAAGGAATGAAAGGAGGAGGAAGAGTTTGTGTAGGCGAGGATGAGATGAGTGATGGAATGCAATGCATTGACCATCCTCATAGAAACAACACTTCTGGGATCTGTGCCTTTTGCCTCCAAGATAAGCTTGGCAAGCTTGTCTCTTCCTCTTTCCCTTCTTCTTTCTCCTCTTCTTCTTCTTCTTCTTCTTCCTCTTCTCCTTCTTTCAGATCCCACACTGCATATTCCATTACTACTGCTGCATCAGCACCACCTCCTGCTACTTCTTCCTCTTCTTCTTCTTCTTATTCTTCTCTTTCCCTCTCTGTCCCTCCCACCTCTGCTAAAAAGAACGGTGCTGGTGATCATGATTATTACATGCGCTCACTTCTTCCTTTTCTCGTAGCAAAGAAGAATAAGAAGAACAAACCCTCCACAAAGACATCTTCATCTTCCTCTGACATCATTTTCAAGCGCAGCAAGTCCTCTGCCACACAAAGAAGAGACCAGTTCGTAGATGACGAGGATTTTAGTCCAAGGAAAAGAAACGGTTTTTGGTCTTTTCTCTATCTTTCTTCAAAACCCTCTGCTTCTTCTTCTTCTTCTTGCAGCAAGAAATTTGAAGGCAAAAGCTTCAGCGATATCAATGGTAGCACAAGGATCTCAACTGGGAAGCAGAGGGACAAGTGTTTGAAGAGTGACATGGTTGTGGAAGAGGATGCTTTTTCTTTGGAGCGCAAGGTTTCGAGATCTAGATCCGTTGGATGTGGTAGCAGAAGCTTCTCTGGTGATTTCTTCGAGAGAATCTCTACTGGGTTAGGGGATTGTACTCTTAGAAGGGTTGAGTCTCAACGTGAAGGCAATAAGCCCAAGGTAGCAGCTGCAGCAGGAGGCGCCGCCGTGAGCCGTGGCGGTGATCACCACCACCATAACTGCATGAAAGAAAGAGTGAAGTGTGGTGGAATATTCGGTGGGTTCATGATGATGACTTCTTCTTCTTCTTCTTTATCATGTTCCTCTTATTGGGTTTCATCCTCTGCGGATGATAGCATGAATGGTGAATCAGTTGGTGTGGGACTCTCCAATGGAAGGCCTAAGAGTTGGGGTTGGGCATTTGCTAGTCCTATGAGAGTTTTTAGCAATAAAACCTCTTCTAAGGAAAACAAAAGGGATGGTATTAGAGATGCTTCTGATAACAACGCTACTCCAAACTTATCTGCTATTCCTTCGTTACTCACTGTCACAGGTTAAAACATTAAAGGGATAAAAGATTAACCATTTGGAGGCTTTAATTTGGATTATACACGTTAGCATTCTGTTCATTACTCTCGAGTATTATTACTCACTCTGTTTTATGTTGTGGCTAGGCCATAATTTTGCTTTTATTTGTAGTCTAGTACTTTTAATTTCCTCTCCATTTTCTTTATTTCCTTTTGGATAGTGGTTTCTTGTGTTTGGAGAGAGGGAAATTGGAGAAGGAAGTGTTAATACATTCCCCTATATATGTCATCATGTGCTTTGTTATTTCTTGAGGTTTTGGTTGTATTCTTCGTAGCTTCCGTCTTGTTATGGCAAAGATATGTAATTAAGTTTCTGTAAAATCAATAATCACATGCATACACATGTTTGAGTGGTGGAGACACAATGGGGGGAGATATATAAAACTTGTGATTATTATTCTTTTCTCTTTATTTTTTTTAGTTCATGAATAATTGCTCTTTTGTTTATTTACAAAATGGTTCATCGAAAATCAATAGTCAAACACATGAACATGGTTGGAGACGGAGTTATAGTGGTCCCCTAGATTGCATTCAGCAACAAGATCTTGCAATCACCGTAACATTTATTATAGGTTTTTTCGTCTGCAGCTACTTGCAGTCCTACTAACATTTAAGACATTATTTCTCGAGTATGCTATCTGCACAGCTGTATAAAAACACGAAATTTAATTCTCTCTCTCAAACACATACGGAATTAACAACCAAAAAAAGACAATAAAACAATGGAAATAGTGTCATTTAAAATAAAATTATCTCATCTCAAGTGAGAGAAAGATATAGCCACAGAAAAGAAAGAGAAGATAGTGACAGAAAAAAGTTTTAAAAATACGGTTTTACTTTCACAAGGGATGTTAAATGAACAAATCAGGTGTTTTTCGCTCGGCTAGTGAAGGTCTGAGCTTATATGTCTAAAATTGGTTATTGGTACAAGGTTTGAATTTGTATAAAAGTTAGGTCTTAGAGCTTGTCAGGCTGGTCTAGTATATTATTTTATTTTATTTTTATATTTTTTATACTACTTGTAATATCTCTTTCTTTCTTCTCAATCTATTTCATCTCATTTCATTGATTAAACTGATTTTTTGAATGATTTTGTTCTATATTATGCTGTTTGGATATACATTGAATTTATGAATATTTATAGAATTACTAGTGTTGTTGATTGCATATTCTGTTTGGATAAATTTTTGTTGCCTTATTTTTTCTAATGAGGCTAACAGACTAAATCAGGCTTTTATTTTTTGTAAATAAGTCAGGCCATAGGCTGATAATTATATTTATAACATGTAACATGCTTGGTTAGACTGACACATTTAAACACAGGCTTAGCCTTTTAAGACCAAAACTCGGCTCGGCTCGTTAACACCCATGAACACAAAGTGTATCATTTAAAATGACATATTCCCCCTAAAACAATTGGCAAAAAAGGATTTAAATATAAAAAATATATTATACACGATAAAATTTAAATTAATTAAGCTATTAAGACACTCATTGGCAGGTTCTAAAACAATTAAGATATTGTTTTCTAAATTAAAATAACACCGCAAAAAATAACAATCACACAACGGTGACTTTTATTATTCTCTAATTAATTAATAATTATTATTTTTTAATATAGAGACTATCTATTCCGTTTCAATTGTTTCAAATTATTTTTCACATAAACGTTTTTATTTAATTAAAATGTACTTCATCACTATTTAAAAAATAAAGGGAAAACTTCAAAAAACTCCTATGAATTTTTTCAATTATCACTTACTCCCTCACAAATTTTCTGAATCATTTACATTCTTATTTAATTTTTTTTATCACTTACCCCATTGATTTAAAGTTTCTTTATCATTTACCCTCCTCACTTAGGGGGGTAAATGATAAAAAAACATTAAGTCATGGGGTAAATGATTCAAAATTTTGGGAAGAGGTAAATAATTATGAGAAAAGTTATAGGGTTTTTTTTGAAGTTTTCCCAAAAATAAAAAATATATCAATATTACTTTTGAGACGGCAGAAATTCGTCTCTAATTTAATTTCAAATCGTAAGTCATGTAATTATTAGGGATGTGAAAAAAAAAAACTGAACTCTGTTGTGAACTAAATTTGAATACAGTGTATTTAAAAGAATTATTTTGTTTTAATGATTTATGAACTGAACTGTTTTTTTTTTCCTTCTTCTCTTCTTTCTTTTTATTTCTCTTGCTTAAATTTTATTTTTCTTCTCTTATTTAATTAATTATTGTCTTTTTTCTTTTATTTTTTTATTTCTTTAACTTTTTTTATTTTCTTTTTTCTCTTATGTATTTTTCTCTCTTATTTATCTATATTTTTACTTTATTTTATCTTTTTTTTTTAATTTCTAGTATTATTTATATATTTTAAATAATTCCTCAATCTTTTCGTACTTTTCATTCGAGTTCATTTTCAGCCACCAACTCTAATTAATTTGAGATAAAGGTGTTGATGAATCGAACTGATTTTTTTAAAATCAATTAATAAACCAAACTGATATTTATATTTTTTTTGCTCATTTTTTTTATCATACACAATGATTCTATTATCATATTCAATCATTGTGCAAAACTTTTACACAAAAGATTGATAATCTCATAATATTTTGACATGTTACTGTATTTGATCCAATTTATTGGACTATAATTCTTCTGTCTATTGATCATACAAAATTGTTGCACAAAAAATAAAAGCAAAATACAAATGGTCATTATTCTGGAAATATTCATGGTAACCAGTATCGTACGATACATGATACGATTCACAAGGTTAACGATACGTATTGAGGGATGTATCGGACTGAGGGTTGTATCAGACGATATGATACTATATTGTATCATATGACACGAAAATAAATCAATTTTTTTAATTTTAATATAAAAAAATTGATTTATGATTTAAATAAAAAATTTACAAAAATATTATTAATAAGGTAAAGAAAATAAGATTTAATTTGTAATTTAAATTAAAAAATCAATCTAAAAATTTATATTAATAAAGGAAATATTAAATAAATATATATTTTGTTATGCATATTTTTATTTTTTAGGTCCTCGAAATCTTAAAGCCGATAGGAATGTTAAAATTAAAGGCATCACCATACAAGAACAAGATAATGTCAACTAGCTTGATAAAAAAAATGATATTGCCAACAAGAATGACAAGGGAAAAAGATCTTAGATTGTTGAACAAGAAATGAGAGATAAGTCAAATGACTACACTAATGAAGAGGATGTTGAATTAATTATGTCATTGATAAATGCTGATAGTAATAATATTACTCTTAACAATTGATAAATTGGAGAATAACTAATTGCATTTTTTATTTTTTGGTATCCTAATTGGTTTGCACTTTTTTTGTGTGGTGTAACTGGTCTGCACTCTAGTTACTCGTATATTTTGCTGATTAGATTATTTTTGGAATTTGAATTTATCTTACATTAAATATATTATATATTTTTAAATTATTTTTAATTATATTTCTGTATCTTACAATTCGATATGATTCACGATACACAATACAAAATGTGGGTCAAATGATACACGATATATATTATTTCAACAATCTTGCTTATGAGAGTTTAATGTGTTATCTAAAGATATATTGCTTCGGACAATATTTAGTAAGGTTAGGAATGTGATAACTTAAATATATCTTTTTTTTGGATACATAAATATTCTTTATTGAATAGGTAAATAACATGAACTATCGTTTGCTTGAACTGATACGTTATAGGTGGGTTGATGGAATATTGAAAACCAGTTCTCAACTAGTTTGAAAAAATAAACCTATTTTATTCTTGGAAATGAATTATTTCAGCAATAGAAAATCGAACGAACTGAAAGTAAAAAATGAATAAATTTTCTATTTGATTATTGTACATAATTTCTTAAATATATATTTTGTATTAAATAAATATAAAATTAATGATACTAAAAATAAAAAATATTTCGTTAGTGAATTAATATTTATTTATTTATTGGGGCATGTAAGTGTTACATTACCCATCTTTTTTATGCAACCCGAATCCCTAATACGTATCTCCATCTCAAATCGTTTAACCCTTGGGAGTAGAGCCAGCAAAACGGACTCGACTCGGCGGGCCAACCCACCTAACCTGTCAAATCGAGCGGGGCGATCTGAGTTGTTCAACCCATTCCAAAAGCGGGGCGGGGCGAGCTCATTTTTTGGCGGGTTGAGGGCGGGCATAAGCGGGTCGAGGCGGGTCAGTGTAAAATAGACTCGGGCTGGCGGGCCAACCTGCCAAACGGGAGCGGGGCGGGCTGAGTTTTTCAGCCCACTTTCAAAAACGGAGCGGGACGGACTGACTTATTTTTTGGCGGATTGATGACGGGTGAGGCGGGCCGCCCACTTTGCGACCTCTGCTTGGGAGTAAGTAGCATCTTGAAATGGGGCTGGTGGGTACCTTTCCAATTGGGAAGGCTGAGAGGTTATCCCTAATTTACGATATGATATAGAAATAAATGTCTTTGGAATTTAATGTCAACGTGAGCAGAGGATTAGGTCCCATTCTTAACCCGTTTTACTATTTTGAATTAGTGTGCAGATTGATGGTTATATATTTTTATGATCGTCTTAGAAAAATCGATTGGTGTTAAGTACCTGAACTTCTCTAGAAACTTGTTTGGCTATTTGGCTTATATATTAATTTCTTTCTCAAAGAAAATATATGGAAAGGTAACCTACTTTCTTATCTATTTTATACATTTATAAAAAGATGATGTTGACTGCAAGTTCTCGGTTATCCTAGTTTTAAATTCTGAATTAGAAATGTCTATAATTGTTAGCCTTCCTAGTCATAGTCATAGATGTTCCCCTTTCATGAATTTATTTTTCTTATTTTTAGCCTTTGAAGTATTGGGTAATATCCTAAGTAGTTCACAATCAATATGTTTTATTTTGTTTTGTTTCTTTTCCTTGTCCTTCATAACTCTCCTTAT